TATATTGTGTATATATTTCAATATTCTGTATATATATATATATATACACACACACACAATAATAAGAAATATATGGAGATATACATTATTATTGTATATATATCGTGTATATATCTCAATATTCTATACACACACACAATAACAAATATATAGAGATATATATTTGTTGTTATTGTATATATATATATTGTGTATATATCTCAATATTTTATATATATATATATATACACACACACAATAATAATAAATATAGGCAAAGGTAAAGGTTTTCCCCACAATAATAATAATAATAATAATAATAATAATATTGAGCGGTACCTATTGATCTACTCACATTTGCATGTTTTCGAACTGCTAGGTTGGCAGAAGCTGGGGCTGATAGCAGAAGCTCACGCTGCTCCCCGGAATCGAACCTGTGACCTTTCAATCAACAAGCTAAGCAGCTCAGCGCTTTAACCCACTGTGCCATCGGGAGCTCCGTATATATTTGCTATTATTGTGTGTGTGTGTGTGTGTGTATACACACACACACACAATAATAATAAATATATAGATATATATTTGTTATTATTGTATATATATATTGTGTATATATCTCTATATATTTATTATTATTATTATTATTATTTGTTGTTGTTCGGCTGCATCTGCTGGGTGGGATCGGATTGTGCTTTTCCTGCATAATGGGAAAAGGGGGTTGGACTAGATGGCCCTTGGGGAACCCTCCCAACTCTAGGATACTATGGTTATATAATAATAATAACAAACAGAGATTGTGTGGCCATCTGTTGAAAGGGATCAGATTGTGCTTTGCCTTTATGGCAGAACGGGGTTGGACTAGATGACCCTTGGAGAATATTATTATTATTATTATTATTATTATTGTGTCCCTTGTATTATTCTTCCATTATTGTTGTTGTTGTTGTTATTGTTGTTGTTGTTATTGTTGTTATTATTATTATTATTATTATTATTATTATTATTATGTGACCCTTGTATTATTCTTCCATTATTATTATTATTATTATTCCATTATTATTATTATTATTATTACTACTACTATAATTATTAGGCTGGATGGCCATCTGCTGGGAGGGATCGGATTGTGCTTTTCCTGCATAATGACAGAAGG